AGTAGGGCTTAAAAATTGGAGGCTCCAGCTACAAAATTTTCCGAATATTGATTCCAAATGCGGAAATGGACTCAAAAAGGGTGGTGCAATTTCTCAAACTTCAAATTATTGTACAGTGAATTATGTGATTAATTTATTAGTTGACTTTTTATAGGACAACCCATGTGGAACAAAAGATTATCGACAATGGGGGGTGTGTGTGAGCAAGCATGTGCAGAGCGACTCAACAATTTGTACTATTATTTAGGGCCTTTTATTATTGTTGGAGGCCTTTCACTTTCATTACGTCAACCTTAGTTGCCGTTTGAAATAGTAATAAGAAAAGGATTTTGTAATCCGTAAAAAAGAAGTGTGACAAATCGAAAGATAGAGACGAGAAAAAGATTAAAACAAAAAAAAAAAAAATTTTTTACGTAAAAGTGAAAGTCTACAAAACTAAAATTGTGGAGCTTAGAAAAGTCCTATTTTCTAATTTATGCCACGTGTTTGGCTAAGCTTCACTTTGAAGTGAATTTTTATTTTGGGAAACACCACTTGTACAATCGAGGTTGATAACTTCTTACAGTGGTGGGTCCCATTGTATTTAAAAAAAATGTCCACCCACCCATCCCATATATGAGTGATTTTCAATCGAGGTTATATAAGTAGCATGATTCATTTTATTTTTATTATGTTTGTATATTAATTTTCTATGAATAATTGCATTATTAACTCCCAACTATTGTGGGGGTAGTAAATTACTCTCTATTCTTCAAAAATAAAAATAAATATATATGTGTGTACATGTTTATAGTTTAACGGTCATTTTTCAACTATTGAAAACCACCCAAATCACTACGACTAGAAACTAAATTTGTCTTGACAACTTGAGTCGACACTCAAATATTTCAATTAAGAAATGATTGAGGACTGACTAGTTACTAGTGCAATAGATTGAAGACCAATAATGTACTTTCTTTTTATTATTATTATTATTTATAAGTTCCTACAATTACGTTTCAAAATAAAATTTACTTGTTCTAAACAAATTTTAAGGTCGCCGAAATGCATGTCTATTTCTTTACTGTTCGCAATTTGTTGGAAGACAAAGGTGATATACAAGTGGGCCGCAAAAATGAGTGGTCACGATCTACTCATTTACTTTTGCTATATTTTGGAGGGAGAAATTCTAAAGTCACCGCCTCTTCTTATTATTACTCAATAAATGACCTAATCAAGACCTTCCGTTCCTCATCAATCATTAAAGCACA